TGAGATTTTTTAAGTAGATATATTTAGTGTGGTCTTTGAGCAACCGGCCTCTGAAGTCTCTATCCATCTCAACAAGCTGGAGATCTTGATCATTCAGGTCAGAATTTCAGGATCAGAAACCCAAAAACCTAGATCTTCTCAGGAAAGGAACATCAGCTCTTTTTTCCCAAGGTAGTATTTAAGATGTAAAGACAACAATAACAAAAAAAATCAACAAAGCAAATTGGATTGCATATACAAACCAAGCTATTTAAGTTTCACTTGGTAAAGTCTTAAGTGTATTTTCTGCTTACAGTATGATTCATGTCCTGACCAATAAGAGTTGGCTGGGCCTTTCAGTACTTATCTTGGAAACCTAAAAAATGATGACATCACATTGCAATTAGGTAATTTAAAGACTTTTAAACAATTACATCACACTTTCGGTCCCACTAATTGGCACCACAGCTGTTTTCTTTGCCTCCTTCTTTTGGAATAGCAGCCACAGGGTATTAACTCACGGGGAAAAACAGTAAAGAATTAAAAAAGCATGCAGACACCAGTGGTTTGGAGAAGAGCCAAGCTGTAAGGTTCACTGTGAAGGGGGTTGCAAGGCAGCTATGTTTAGTGCAGAGCTAAAGGGGAAGAATGAAGAAAATACCATTCCTGTGATCGGAGTTGGCAGATCACAGGCTGGGGAGGATCTTGTCAGCAAAAATAGCAATAAATACATTAATGCTGGTCCATTCTCTCCTGACATCTTGGAGCAGGGCTATTCTAAGAGGGCCTGTTATTATGTTGTTATAGTTGCATAGTATGTATTTAAATGTTAGAGTCACAGCCAAGGAGATCTAAAGATAGGACGGTGGGTTTAGCCTTTTGTGATGAGGGTGCAGCAGAGCATGCCCACTGATAGATAATGTGGCCAGCCTTGAAAAATATTTTTTTAGGTTGCTAATCATCTAAATATTTACTGGCAGAGGAGTATAGCCCTGTGTACTGAAGCCAAGTCCGTTAACAAAAGACTTGCTCTTCTGAGTTACCCTTAGGAGGTCACTGTGGGCTGCGAATTAAAAGTAGTTCCAGACAGCTCTCCTCTTATTCATCCAGAATCAATGAACCACAAGTTGAAATTCATGAGAGCACCTCTGTGAAAATAGAAAGATGTAAAGTAAAGGTGTGTAATATAGCACAGTGTAGTACCGAATAGAAAAGGAGTGGTTACAGTCACTGGCTTAGTGTCTGTGAAAAGCATCAGCAGTGAACTCCAATATTCTGCATATAATACTAACACAGCATTGCTGCAGTTCTTTTCACTCTCGCACAGTCTGGAGGGCTGTAGCCACCTTGGAAACCCAAAGAAGCAAACCTCCTCTTGGGAGTCTCGCAGCCTGCGGGCGGGAGGGAAGGAAGCTGGGGAGCTTTACAAGGAGGTAGAGGATTCCCAGCAGAGCTTTGGATTCTTCACTGTTAAGAGAGTTGACTCTCTGCAGCCACCACTTTGTATCTCTTCTCTGGATCCTACCTGTAATCATCAGTTTGCCTAAATCTCCACCACCATCCATGGACCATAGCTTACTACTTGCCTGTCTTCATTCTTTCAGTCTTTTTGGAGTTTACTGAAAGCTTCCCTGAATTCAAGTAAATATGAGATCAGAAGGCAAGGAGAAGGCAGATTAAGTCTCCTGCAGTGCAACATCCTATAGCCATCAGTAGGACTTCAAAGTAGCATCTGGCAGGCGCAGGGGATGGTTTTTAGCCATTTGTCTGACACGTTCTAGGTTGTATCCTGTCCATATGTTATTACAAGGTGACAGTAAATGTGTGGAACAAAAGAAAGGAAAGGTGAAGGAGTTCGCAGAGGATCTGACCCCCACAATCAGAGCATCTTCAGTTTCCACAGTGCTCCCTGTTCAAAGGGACCTCCCTAGTTATCCCACACAGGCATCTTGCAGAAGAGTGCTGAGTTAGAAGCTTGCTGCATAATCTGTATCCAGATGTGTATTGGGGACCTTGATGTCTGCTCCCTTTAAAAAAACCCCAGAAGTAATCTCAAGTAAAGTATCTTCTCTTCCCTCCTCTGTTATGATGTTCCCTCTCAAGTGTGATCGTCTCAGCTGGGCAACTGCTGGCTTTGTTTTTTCCTTCCCTGCTTGTGAACCTTTCTTGGCTGTTGTTCTTCTGGATACGAGTGTGCTTGTCCTGAATAAGAGAGAGACCACACACAGACGGGGCAGCACTGAAGTTACCAGGCTGGTCCAGCCAAGCCCTCTGCCCCCTCTTCCTGTACTGCCTTAGACAAGCACTTTCTTTGCTCCCTTCTCTGGCTGTCAGCAGCCACAGCTGGGGCAGAGAGGCCAAAGCTGCTTCCCAGGCCTAAGGCTTAAGTTTAAGCTCTGCTTTTCAAACGTAATGAGCTCCTTGGCAAATGCTCAGTGAAATTGGTCCTTGTTGGCCCAGGCTTTGCTGGTGTCTCAGCCCTGTTACCCGTGCACGGAGCCCTCTGAGCTCCCAGGGGCTGCACGAGACAGAGCTCTGCTGCTTGTGCTAAGGGTGGACCAGTGGCTGCTCGGCTCCCACTGCACCAGCTGCACCAGGCCTACATTTGGCCATTTGATTTGAGAGCGAATTGCTGACAGCAGAGGAGATTCAAGTTCAACTCCAGCCTCTAGAGAAGCTGCTGTTTCAGTTCTTTCAGACTGTATTTTGTCCTTGTGCCTCACGTTTCTCCCTGTCACATTTAGATCCTATTACCGTCTCTCCCTTCCTACTCAGCCTCCTGTCACGTGCCAATCCTTTCTCCCTCCCTGCACCTTAAAGCCTCTCTCGCTTGCCGTTGTCCTCTATTCCTTTGCCAGCCACTGTTCCCTGGCTCCTGACCATCCCTGCTGCCAGCTCCTCCAGCACCACTTTCCTTGCAAGCCTCTCATCTCCTTTCCAGCCTGCTCAGACTGCCATTCCCTCCTCCTCCTCCTCCAACTGGCAGGAGAGTCACCAAGGCCACGGGATAGATCTTCTCCTGTGTTTCCATCCAGCACCTAATTTCCTGGGGAAAAAAAACCGACTACAAAGTCCTGCTCAAGCAGATGGACAATTCAACTAACAAAGGTTTCCTTGCACTTCTGTAGTTTGCAAGCTGGAGACGTTTTAGGTAATAACTTGGCTAAATGTGGATGAATTTTCTTGGAGATGGAGAAGAGTCCATCTCTAACTGTGGCTCATCACCACATTTGCACCTTAAACACAAGGTGCTAGATCTGAGTAACAAAATGGCTGCAGGGATATCTCAAATAGGAGGAGACAGGCATATTTTTGATCACCAGAAAAGGGTCTTCAGACAGGGCAGTGTGTGTTTTAAAGTAAGTTTATGTTTGTTTTTAAGGTTTTTCTTGATCGGGTATTTTCCTTAAACACAAAACAATTCCATTATAAAGTAAGATATTTAACATTGAGCATCATCTACATCCTAATGTTTTGGTAAGAAGTTCATAGGGAAAAGATGGGCTGTAGAACATCCAGCCCTTACTATGTAAGGATGCAGGTTGTCTTGTCTTCTAATTTTTCTGTTTCTTGGTGTGGATATGTTTTTGAAACAGATTTTGATGAATGAGATCTCTTCTAAAGTGGGATATTCTCGGTGAGATTAGGCTTTGGTTTTCCTTGTAATTGTCTCAAATTTACACCTCCTTTTTTCAAATCCTGACTTTTTCTTTCCCTCAACTGGGAGATAAGGGAAATATAGTAAAGGTATCGAAACAAAATAAGGAAGTAATTATGCAGAACGGAACTTGTAGTCTCAAAAATAACATTTTGGGAGAAGAAAACCAAATTAAAAAATACAGAGTTCTTTGTTTCAATTTTATTTTCCTCCAAAACCCAGCTTTTCCTCAATTGAAAACAGGCTGGTTTTGAGTAGCAGTAATAGTATAAATGCAGCTGCCGTGCTGGTGGTGTTACAGGAGTTCAGGCTCCACAGGGAAGTGCAAGATGGTTCCAGAAACCAATATCAAAATGAAGATCTCTGCATGAGTACTTCGATGTACAGCCTTTAGACTTCTCGGTAAAACCCCTTAGCTTGTGGTACAGAGGTGACATTAGAAGGGTGGTACATGTTGAGAGCAGGACCATGGCATGTTGAAGTCTTGAAATCCAGCAGGTGCTGTGCAATTTGGGTTTACCAAAGCCTCGGGACTGTTTCTCCTGTGATACCTCGCCTAGCTGTGACAGACTAATGACAGTCCTGCATCCTCCTGCCTTCCCAGTTCTCCCTCTCCTGCTTTGACCCTGGGAAAGGAAGTGGCTTGAAGCTAGATGGCTTTCTGCACTTCTCCTGCCCTGTGTTTCCTTTAAAGTTGAGTGCACCCTCTGTCATTCTTTCTAGACAATCTACCTTTCCAAAAATTAGACACGAGGCTTTTGCAGGATACACGACTGTCAGCAGGTGTAACATGGCATTTGCCCTTACCCAGCCAGAGGAACTCAGTAGCCCTCCCTGAGACTGGTGGGGCACACAGCTTGTTGATGTTGGTGAGACATTTGCCATGATTGAATTCTTTGAATTTTGGATTCAGTTAGGAAATCTAACTGAAGTGCATGTTTCTCCCCATTAGCTCATACAGCTCATGTGACTTGTTTCATTCATGTGACCTCTTACTGCGTATCCATCATTCCATTTTTCTTTCCTATTAGAGTGAAATTGGACACAGCCCTCCTCCTGCCTACACCCCTATGTCAGGAGTAAGTATTTCACATTCAACCTTCATCCTTTAGGTTTTCCTCCTTCCTTCACTACGTGTTTTCTGTTTCAAACCCTCTTTTTTTTTTTCCTACATAAATGACACAAAAGCCATTAGTGAACAGAGTGTGTATGTAAGCAACCAAATAGTCAGGATCTCTACACTCAGCCTGGATTTGTGTGCAAGCTCCATGGACCCACACCCAAAATTCTGCCAACTTTTCTTGAAAAGGCTTTTAGGTAACAGGCTTGGATGAATCTGTAAATTTTTCCTTCCTATTTGTAGGTCATGATGTCGAAATTTCCTTGCACGCCCTTGCTGACAAGCAAAATGGTAGGTTGAGTTGAACCACTGAGTTGAGGTATCAATGCAAACACAGTTCACCAGCCTGAAATTTCCTTTGCCAGGAAGGGTAGTGATAGGACAAGGGGAAACGGTTTTAAATTGGAAGAAAAAAGATTCAGATTAGATATCAGAAAGAAATTTTTTACTATGAGGGTGGTGAGACACTGGAACAGGTTGCCCAGGGAAGTTGTGGATGCCCCATCCCTGGAAGTGTTCAAGGCCAGGCTGGATGTGGCCTTGAGCAACCTGGTCTGGTGGGAGGTGTCCCTGCCCGTGGCAGGGGGGTTGGAACTAGATGATCTTTGAGGTCCCTTCCAACCCAAACCATTCTATGATTCTATGATTCTATGAAATGCACTCCCTGATGGGATTACATAGTGTTTGGGTGACCGTGTGATTGTCACTGCAGGACACCCTAAATGTAGGCCTCCCAGGAGCAGACAAGAGTTCAGAGATGATAACGTCCTCTATCCCCAGTCCTCTTTGCAGAAGGAGGTTTCCCTAGCATGAGGTTTAAGGGCTTTGTTTAGAAGTCAGGGGAGATTACTAAAGTAATAGAAGAGGAGATATGTGTTTTCCTTGCTGTGCATATCCAGCCTCCACATGTCTAGGTAGGAGACAAGTTCTCCTGCCCCATGTCTAGCCCCACGGCCAGCCCGGAGCAGCCAGCACGCTTCCCCGCTCCCCTCACCGCACCAATGGTGCCTCCCCAGGAGGTGAAGGTGGCTCAGCACCAGCGGGCACACAGGTGCTTTGCTGGTCCACAGCAGAGCCTGTGCTGCTGGAAACACAGGAGTCTGCAGGGTGGACAAGGCTTCACCTGCCCAGTGAAATGCATCATTGAGCAAGTGTGGCAGGAAAGGCACGGGAGCCGCAGAGATGACTTGCTGTTGAGTCTCCTCTCCCTTCAGAGCCTCCTTTCTCATGCTGCCTTTTCTTTTTCAACAGAACCAGTTTGTGTACAGAGATGGTGGCTACGCTGCAGAAGTGCCCATGCCCTACAGAGCTCCTGGCTGCATAATACCAGAGGCCCCAGTCGCTCAAGGGGCTACAGCAGAGATCTTTGAAGACACTTGCTGTAACGGCACACTACGAAAACAAGTGGCAACCCTGGCAAAAGAGGACAGCAGCACCCAGAGGTACAGCGCTGACCCCACCGTCTTCATACCTGAGCGGGTTGTCCGGGGAGAGCTGGATGAGGACGGGTACATGACACCAATGCGAGACAAACCGAAAACAGGTAAAAAATTGTCTTTTCAGAGAAGCTCATGTTCTAGTCTGACTGCATTCTCTCTTCTTCTACATCAGCAGCTTTTCACCAAAAACAGCTTTATCAAGTAACTCAACAAGGTTGAAACATTCTGACTTGGTTAATATTTCTTTGCATGGGGAGTCATTTTTCATTGCTTAATTTGCTACTTGGAGAAGCTCAAATGTGCCAAAATGTCAGGTTTGGTGATTCCCTTTTAACTTTTCTTTCTGGGAAATAGCACATAGCAATTTGTGAATGAAAAAAAAGCCAAACCCCTCTCTCTTACGCAAACACAAATCTTCACTTGTTTCCAAGAAAAGGATCTATCTTTTGCCAGCCGTAGTCTCCGCTTTGCTTTGTTTATCGATCTTCTTTATCTTCATGGCATTGTGCTTGGTAAATGTCATGTGGAACATATCACAGAACCGATACACACAGTTGGCATTTTATACCCAAGAGAAGTTTAGGATTGGAAGAACAAGATGTGCTTTAGAGAGGCCATCACTGCAAGGTGAAGTTTGCCTTGATCTGTGCCAGCTCAGAGTGCTGCACTTCCCAGTTTGCCATCATTCGTTTGTTCCTGTTTAAATAGTGACAGCAGTCACTTAGGTGTAAGGGGATGTGCCATTAGTAATTTGCTTTCAAACCTTTGCATTACCTTTAAAGAAATTAATTAATGCAAATGTAAATGCCAGTAACCACTGAGTTTCTGTCAGAACTTGGAAGAAAAGGGTAAGCCCTTTCTGTTACATGGTGGAAATAAAGGGAGTTCTCCCAAGTGGGGCTTGACCCACAGCAGCAGCGATTGTGGGAGTGCGCTCGTGGCCCCACACTTCAGCAACCACCCTTGCAATAAGAGATTTGATGCTCTGAGTTTGCTTCCATGTGAGCCCACGCGTCTCTTCACATACAGGTTCACCTTGGGGGATTCTCAGTTCTGCAGGAACTTACACACCTCACAGGTGCTACCTGAGCCCTCAGGGGTGTGGTAGTAACAGCTCAGGAGAAAGCACCTCCTTCCTTTCTCACAGGGATGTCACAGTGCTGTGAGCTGGGGTATTTAAATCAAAGCACTCTTCAGCTGTCATCGTAAAAATTAGTACGTCCCCACTTTGCTTTTGGCACAGGCAGATGTGTCGGTTCACCTCAGATTGAGTGAAGTTTCACCTGTGTTCAGAGGTACTCGCTAAGTCTTGAACTTTTGTGGTTTTGAACTTTAATAGTTTTGGCCGTGTCCTGGATAAAAAACGAGCTGAAGTGAGGACCACAGCCACCCTCTTACAACAGTCCTTACAGGCAGGACTTCTGTGGACTCTGTGTCTCCAGAGCCCATGACCAGGGCCATGCCACTGGAAATGGAGATCTTGTGGTGGCAATCCCTGTGTGGCACAGGTGGGCTGAGAGATCATCCCACACTAACGGCAGTGGCTGGGGAACCCTGTTTTGTAGGGAACCTCTAGGCCATGGGATGAAAGGCAGAATTAAGAGTGGAACTGGAAGTGATTTGATCGGATAATTTCCAGCCTTGAATGCTCTGGATGCTTTTGGCGTATCTTGCTGCAGGCCTCCCACCCCCAGTCCCTCCTGTCCCTGGCTCACCTCCGGGCCGTTCCCTTTGCAGCCCCTTGGCAGTGCCAGTGACCACCCTCCTGCCCAGGCTGCCTGGCTTTCTCTTTTGCAGTGGGACATCATTAGCAAGGCAGGACACGACACTCAATGAATCCGTTGTTCCATGGCTTGGTTGCCTGCGTGTGACCATGGGAGATACCTTACTATCTGTGTGTTTTTAACCTAGGACAGCCAGTCTCTTTATATTTCTCTTCCCTCCCCTAGCTTTCCATGCAAGCTCCATATGCCTTAAAACCTTTCTGCAATTCAGCGACAATTTTTTGCTGCGTTAGTCCAGAGAAAGTGATTTGAACCTGCTGCAAGTCCTGTTTTAGAGCAGATGGGTGGCTCTCCTGTACTCTTTCCAGGGCTCGTTTGAATCATTTTTTTCATAATGCTTGGAGGCCCTTTGTCCTTCAGGGATGGAAAGTTTTTAATCAGGCAAATTGTTGTGTTAGAAATGAAGCTGTCTTAGAAGTTAGCCCTTGGGGGATGTTTTTTGTACAGAGAGGCTTCATTAAGATTTCTATAGAGCTTTTTTGTAGGGAAAGACTGCGGAGCAGAGGGTTTGACTGATACATCCAAGGTTGCACAGAGTCAGCAACAGAGGTAGAAGTCGCTTGGCGTGTTTGGCTCTGTAGATCATCCACTGAGAGGAGGGCCAGCATCAAGCAAGGCACAAGTGAGGGCTCAGTGACAGCTGTAGTTTAGTTTGTCAGTATGTTTGATGCCACAGTTCATCTTCCAGGGTCTTCACTTTAACACATATTGTCTGTTTAGTTTGTAAATTCTTCATTTTAGCAAGTGTACGTTCAACATCATCGGCACCTGATCTCATCTGGGTTTCTAGGAATGACTGGGGTGGAGGACAAACATGTCCAAGTACTGCTTCTGGCAGAGCCTGGTAGCAACACACACATGATGCAAGCTACATGGGTGGATTGCTCCTTTTCTTTGCTCATTTATTTTTTATCTTTCCTTAGATTACCTAAACCCAGTGGAAGAGAACCCATTTGTCTCCCGACGAAAGAATGGAGATCTCCAAGCTGTGGACAACCCAGAGTATCACAATGCTCCAAACGGGCAGCCCAAAGCCGAGGATGAGTACGTGAACGAGCCATTGTACCTCAACACTTTTGCAAACACCTTGGAAAATGCCGAGTACCTGAAGAACAACTTGCCAGAGAAAGCCAAGAAGGCCTTTGACAACCCAGACTACTGGAATCACAGCCTGCCCCCACGAAGCACCCTCCAGCACCCGGACTACCTGCAAGAGTACAGCACAAAATACTTTTACAAACAGAATGGACGGATCCGGCCCATTGTGGCAGAGAATCCTGAATACCTCTCCGAGTTCTCCCTGAAGCCTGGCACTGTGCTGCCCCCGCCGCCCTACAGACACCGAAACACAGTGGTGTAGTGACCGCGGTCTTACAAAGTGGAAAGGCAACCCCTTCTAGCTGCCTCACTCCTCGCGCTCTCCTCCTCTCTCTCCCTCCCTCCCTCCCTCCCTTTTCATTCTCCCATGAGCTTCCTCTTCTTGCCAGTTCACTCATTTTTGCTGTTTCCAAGTGAAAGGATGTCTTGGAGTCGCTTGCAGTCCTTGCAGGTTGGCAGAACCTGGAAGGAAGGAAGGAAGGAGACGGAAAGAAGGCGTGTACAACCTGGCGTTCCTCACTTTCCGCAGATGTAGGGGGTCGGACAGTCAGAGAAGCCAGTGAGTACCAGTAAAGGCCAGTGGCAGTGTTGCCTGCTGTCGAGCTAGTTCGCAGCGATTCAACTCAGACACTTGTAGGGAAAGCCACAGAGAGGCTGTTTCTTGCAGCAGGAGCTGAGGAGAGTCTGTACAGCATTCCTGGAAATCTCAATGCAGTTTCCATTAGGGGGAAAAATGGACAATTTTTATATCATGTGTGATAGCATAGTAATTGAGATTGAGAATCCAATTTCTTTCTCTAACACTTTCTATCCCAGCAACTGAAAATGGCTAACCTGGCTTTTCATAATCGTTCAGATCTTCATCGTGGCTTTCCAAGAAATGATGATGTGACTTTAATATACGGCTAAACCCTTTTTCTGAGCCACACCATGATTTTTGTGCCAATTCCTTACCACAGAGACTCCAGCTCAGAACTGGTACATGACATGACCATTTTTGTATACATGCCAACATGACAAACACTTCAATCACAAAAACCCTTTCAGAAGAGAGTAACAAAACCACACCTCCAACATCTTGTTTTTGAAGCCAAAAGACAGGCCAAGAAACCAAGATTTGTAGGTAAAAAGCTTTGCTTTCCTGTTTTATACCTGCTGACTAAAGATATAAAAAGACCCAAACAAATTCTTCCCTCTTTTTCTTCTTCATGATCATGAAGGGAGTTGAGGATGCTGTCAGGCAACACTGAGGACGAGATGGAGAACCGGAGAGTTTGGTGTGGGTCACGAAGTCTCCTGGTGCTCTGTGGGGTGGTGGTGGGAAGGGTCCTTTTAAACTGGAAGACAGACACTGGACTGGAGAAAACGCACATAGCGGTTCACTGGAAAGTTAGTTTGCACTTAAGCTCAAATTTTATTTGAACTGTTTTCTGGATTTTGAATGAAGCAATATGGAAGTGACCAGCAAAATACAAATAATAATTTTAAATTAAAAAAAAAAAAAAAAAAAATTATATGTAAAGGATGACTGTGGAAATGCCAAAATGAAGCAAATCAAGTCTTTGGAACAATGTCTACCAGTTCTGACAGGCCATTGCATTGACTGCTTCAGAGAATACAGTGACAGAGCAACCAGCTCTTACTGCTGCCACGTGAAGGACAGCAGAGCAAGCCCTGAATGGGATCGGAGGAGACAAGTGTCTTGCTCTGGCTTGAAGCACAGGATGGAATACTTTTTTCTAAAAGGAGGATTACTCTGGCACAGAAGCCGGTGCCTGTGAGGTTTGAGAAGTCACAATGTGCATGACTCGCAGAGCTTTCAGTCAAAATTGTAAATAAACCAGTCTCCTTGCACTTAGTTCTGCTTTCATCAACCTCGATTTTTAGGTAGACACCCCACTGCCCACCCCCTGGCCTGCTCCTCTTTGGAAATACCTTTCAGCCAGAGTTCTGGACGTTTTTAGCAACCTGAGGCAGATGTGTAAGACCCATATGTATAAGAGCATTTGTATACCTAGTTCTCACCGAAAATCTTAAGGAACTATTAAGTACCTTTGAAGATCTGCCTATGTCTCTATCCATCAAGGCTTTTATAAAGGGGAAGAAACAATACCCAATGGATGGCAATCTTAGGTGATACAACAGTATTTCAGTTTATGCGCTTCAGTCCTGTTAAAGTCGAGATCTTTGGGGTGACCTAACCTGGCAATGAAATCAGCAACACCCAGCATTCTGGAAATGGCATCGAGCTCCTCCAGAATCCTGCCATCTGAACAGCTTGCCACCTTTAAGCAGAGGAAGGAGTAAGAAACGAGCAGTAGTTAACCCAGATCTTGATGGCTGAGGGTGAGCTTGACAAAGGTATGAAGGGATTTCAAATCTGGGTTGGTTGCAGGTGGGAAACAAATTGTGGGTGATCACTAGGTCAGAGTTGGTTCAGCTGACAGCCTGCTTCTGCATCAGGTGTGTTCAGGGCAGCTTGAACCAGCCGCGGGGCAGATATTAAACCCGTAAGCTGAGTATGTAGCTGAAGAGTCTGAAAACAGCAAGATCAAGTACATATCTTTGAAGCTGTTAAAAAGAGATGTCGGGTCAAGTGGTACCAAGGTGATCCGTGCTGGCTGCATAAAGTGACCAGCAGACCACTAAAGTGGGATAGATGGTTACAAAAAGTCATGCATCTGAGAGGCCTTGTGTCTTCCTGGTGTCCTCCCGTAACTCATCATCTCGGCAGGAGACAGAAGTGGGCATTGGGCAGGGGCAAGGGACATAGTGGGGTGGGCTGAGATCCTGGAGACCCCATTCTGGGGAAGGTTTGCTGGTGGTGGTGCTCACAGGGTGTCATTTGAAGCACAGATAAAGGTCTGCCAGGTCGGGATGCAATTGCCAAGCTGCCTGGGGACAAAGACCAGCAGAGGATTGTGGATGTCCTGATCCAGTGCAGGCACAGCCCAGGTCACGTAGGTAGGTGGTGAAAAAAAAAGGTTGATTTGTCCCTGAATGGAATTTTGTAACAGAGTAACTCCTAATGGAGAAAAAAAATAAAATCCTGGTACAGAGAGGTGGGCTCAAGGGCTGCTGGGGCAGAAACAGGCACCCCTCCAGCCCCGGGGGGGGACACTGGGATGTAGCTGCTAATGGAAGGTGAGGCCTGTTTCTGTCTCTGGTAATGAAGTAGTACCAGTGTGGGAAGTAAGCCTGTCAAGTAATCAAAATGTAAATAATTGTGGTTTTTAACAATTTAACATTTGATTTATTACAAAACTTGAATTATTTATTGATTTTGTTGACTGTGGGTGTGATACAATATGTTAAGTAGCGTAGAAATGCAGAGGTTCCTTGAAGTGGGGCAGAAGGGAAGGTCCCTCACGCTGGGGCTGCCACACGTGGGCAGGTGGGGGCCGTGCTTGTCATGTCTTGGATAGCAGAGGGATGGCAAACCAAGGGTTAACGAACACAGTAATTCGTGATGATGGAAAACTCAACAGACTACAGCCTCACAAATAGGGTTTGGGTTTTTGGGGGGTTTTTTGGGGGTTGTTTTGTTGTTGTTTTTTTTTCCCCTGAGCTTCTGGTTTGAGTTGCAGTCGCCCCAGAAGTGGTCTTTCCAAGAGCAGATGTGTTTGGTTGCTTTAATCTGCTCAGCCAGCCCGAACCCGCGAGGTTGCCTCGGTGGGTAGAGCTGCTGGCCTGGGGACAGGAAGGCGGGCACACGTGCGTGGCAAAATCACAGCAAATGTTCAACTTGATTCCGTTGTGGAAATGTACGAGGGTCAGGCTTTTAAATGAATAATCACAGGTTTGGGGAAAAAGCAGGTATTTCCACACAAACTGCATTTTGTCAGCACAAAGCAGCAGGTGAGAGCATCAGCAGAGGTATTTTGGCTGGGTGTAGTTCATTCTCTAGTTGCACACTGGTGTCTGTAGGCAGCGCTGGCAGGTTTTATGGATTTTTATAATGTGGTCTCCTGTTTGTAAATGTTTTGCTTTCCCTTATCACAGCCTGTGCCACTTGTCAAGAGCAGGTACCCGAGCGCGTGTCAGCCACTGTCCAAGGCACAAAGCAACGCGCTAAATGACAGAGAACAACAGCTTATTTTTCCCTAATCTCTTTCGGTGAGACTTGGTTTAGATGTTATTACCCACCTGAAGGTTATTTCAAACAGATGTGGATGCTGGGTCTGATTGACTTCCTGTAACATAATTGACCGAAACCAACTACTTTTTAAGTTTCAGCTCTTTTCAGATCATTCTTTTTCTGCAAAATAGCCGGGAGGGGTTCTTACACGGCCGTTTGCTGAGATGTAGCAGAGTATTTACACCTTGCTTTCCAACAGGTCATCCAACAGGTAGCAGCAGTGGGAATAAATCCCAGCACGTGTCACCAGGAGGCTCAGCCCAGAAACCCTTCCCGTTGTACAGGGAAGGCTGCCTGAACCCTAGTTTGTACCACTTTTTAATCGGTAGAAAATGCATTTCTTGGCTGCAGGAATTGTATGCAATGATCTGCCTTCATTTATTTCTGGGAGTTGGAATTTTTAAGGTCTCTTATAACCCTCTTTTATGATTAATGGGAAAATACTTTCCCTTCCCATCCCGCCGGCTGTGTTTGAAGGGCAGCTGGGGCAGGGCACTGTCCACGTGCCACCCCTCCGATACCTGTTTGCACTAAAGATTTGAGAGGGAGCTACAGGGGTACCTTTGCCCCCACCCTCAGCCACTGCTAATCCCAGCCCAGAAGCAGGCAATAAGGTACCTCGGAAAGACCAGCTTGGCCCTGACTCCCTGTGGATCAGTTCTTTCCACAGCTCGAGAGCGAGCGGGACAGCACAGGTGAAAAGCACTAGATGAGGTGAGTCAACCTAGAAATATTACTTGGGGTTGGGTGAAGGGAGGGGTGGGGCATTGAGGATAGCCCTGTATGGCACATTCATATATTAAAGAAAAAAAATTTGTCGTCTTTTTTTTTCTGGTGGGGTGTCTGTGTGGGTGTCCTGCATCATGGTGGCAACTGAAGGAATGAAGGGATTATTTGGGCTCCTTTATACCACCCAGGAGATGAGGAGGCTTCGGCCCGACTCAGAATTGGGCTGTTGGTCATGTAATCCCACGGGGTAACTGAAGGCATCTCAGGGGGAGCCCTGTGCACCCTGTGCCTGCCGACCCTTTCAGGGGGGGCACTGACAGGAAGGGGACTGACAGCGGGGGCATCGCATCGCTCACTTGTTGGGATGGAGTTTTACCCTCACTTTGCACCACTTTTCCCAGTCACATTTTGGAACTATTGAGCTCAGGTAGGTGTTCACCTGCTCTGAAGGTGGTTTAGCTTCAGGGTGGCTGGTGGGACAGAGGCTTTATCATGAACCAGAGCCCACCCTCAGGTTATTAGTCACCTCTGGCTCTTAAAGAGCACCTCAAAGGAAGCAGGATGGCCTCGAGTTCCCTTCAGCAACCACTTTTTAAAAGGTGGTGGTACATGAAGACTATTCATTTCTAGCTCTGTCACTTGCGATATTCTCCTTCCCGTGGATCTTAGACCTCTGCTGCTGACACATCAGCTCGTCTGTTGTTATAGAAAAACCTTGGATTTGGGTTCAGATTTTTTTAGACAGCCAGGGCTGTGTGGGGTGGGGTTGGTTGGCTGTAATACTCATGCTCCATCCCGTGCAAGGAGCCACGGGGCAGCCTCTGTGCAGCGTCGCTGTGTTTGCAGGATTCCCTCTCTCGCCGAGTGTTACGCAGGTACAAAAGGTCAGTTACAAATGGGGCTTTCAAATTGGGAATAAATAACAGAAATACAGGTTCCATGGTTGTAAACACAACCCTAAAATGTCCAAAAATCACTTGTCGTCTCCGTCTTTGTTTTAACTTTATTTTAGCACAGGGTTGTGTTCCTGTACCGTTGTGTGGATGAGTACGTTGTAACGCTGGTAGGCTTGTTGCTCTTGGGGAAGTTTTGGGGGGGTGAGGCTGTTGTCGGTGGTGCCGCACTGGTGGCTGCGCTCTGTTGTAGGTGTTGGATGTTGCAGAGCACCTTTTGGGGGGACACTTGTGGGCGTTGAGGTCTGACTGGTGGGGGTGGGACTTGCTGGAACTGCAGGCAGGTGCATCTCTTGACCAGCCTGAAGAGGTGCTTCCACCCAGGGCATCCTCCAGCTGGGGGTCTGTGCCCACAGACCAGGAGAAGGTGTGAAGGGGAAACCCAGGGATCTTCTCCCAATTAGGAAACACTAAGAGTCAGAACTGTTTATTTTTTCGTGGTTTTATTACTTAATTTTGAGAGAGAGCTGTGTGGACCTTGGCAGAGAGGGGCTTGAAGGGGGCTTACAGATGCCTACCATCTGTAAGGTGTTAGGCAGCGTTGAGTAATTATATCCCAGTCCTTCTCCCCACCCCACCCCCCAATAAAAAAAGCCATGAAATCGTGCCCCACAGGTGTCGTGGATGAAACCACCAGGGCCAGGGTGCATCCCGCACAGCCCCCTCCCGCTGAGGGCTGTGTCGTGGCCAGGGGGGCACACGTACACCCAGCCCTTTGCCAGCCCTTGGGTCCCAACCTCTGAGGCCTCGTAGGGAGAAAACACTGTATTGTCCATAGCACTCCGAAGACTAAACCCTTTTGGGATAACCACAGTAATAAACTGTGAATGGTATTTTATAAGTAAGTGTAGATACGTATGCCGTTCTTTTGAGGTAAGGTACTATGACATATGTAGCATAAACTGGTACTGCTGTTAAATGGGTCGATTATTAACTGAGCAGCTGTGTAAGGGGCAGCTAACTTTGAATGCACTAACCCACTGGTCCTTTGGAGAGGGGCACTGAAGGTAGTTGCTGGGTACTTGTCTTTTTATGGTGGGGTATGTTAAGAGGAAAATGCAGATCAGTCAAAACACATTTTTTTTTTAAATAGCATTTTAATGTTGGAAATTGGTACGTACTCGATACATTTTTCACTATGGTTTTAATCCTTTTTTATTTGGCCAGTTTTTGCAATTACCCCAACACTGTAAGCTGGAATTCCTGAAGAGGGAGCAGCCCTTGTGTAGGGTGGGGAAAATGCAGTCTCTTTCTGAAAACAGAGATATCCAAAATGCATTTCCTGACCGGGCAGTCTTGAGCTATTGACTTCTTTTCTTGATGAAATGACATCACTGTCCCCTCAAAAATCAAAGGCCAAGCCCCACCTGGGAGGTGATGTAGGAGCAGCACCGAGCTCTTGGATGACACTGAGCTGGTGGCCTTGGGTGGGTGGCTGCCTCCATGGGCCATGCCATGGCCCAGGGGAACCAGCCCGACCCCCTGCCGGGGGTGGGTGAGAGGCAGAGATGGGAGGGTCTGGGTTTATGCCAGTTCTCCCTGTTCTTCAAGTGCAGAGAGACAAACCAACAACACTTCTGCCTTAGGAAGTACCTTCAGAAGAAGAGAAGCATCAGGGTGTTGGGGAAGAGACTCATTTCTTGCAAAGTGATGCATTCAGAGTTAGCTGCCTTTCTGAAACAAACAAACAAAAAAAAAAATACAAAAACTACTGTATGTTACTTTGAAAATGTGAATAGTATTTTTATAGCTTGTTAAAGACACAGCTAGTTGCATTTGTAAATAAGGATAATGTTGCTTTTATTTTCCTCGTGGACACCATTATTTGGAACATAATTGTCCTTAGGGTTGATTTGTATATAGGTAATTTGCTTGTGATTTAAGCCGCTCCTCCCCTTTTCTTTCTCTCCCTTCCCACCCTCCGGTTTTGGTTAGAAGTCCCATTTTTGGCATTCTGTGTGATTCTGTGTTCTAGCACTATCGTGGTGTGTTCAGACTTTCTGCACTTGCTTACACAGTAGGGTATGCGATTGCGTGTGGCGTAACGTTCCTTTAACCTTGAGTTTCTCATATTTTAGCTACCGAGGATTATGCACTGTTAAGATACTGACCTGGGTTAATATTAGCTACATATTTGAGCATAATTTCCCTTCTTTTCACGGTTTCTCGGTTCTGTTTTCTCTTCCTCCCTCCCCGCGTGTCTGGTTCGGAGCCGGGGAGGACCCTGTGGCTCCTCTCTCTCTGTGGTTCCCTTTCCCGCCCCCGGCGGCCCCGGGGCGGCGCTTTCTCTGTCTGTCGAGGCGACACCCGGCCCCTCCCCGCGCCCGCTCCGCCCCTGGAAACGGTCTGCCTTTTGTTACATGAATCTGTCAGAAATATATTTTTAATTTAATATAAATGAAATTCAATAAAATATGAAACAAACCCCGTGTGGACGTGTCACGTTTCTTGCACTCCCAGCAGCACGCCTGCAGGGACAGTAGGGCCGAACACACACACACACATATACACACACACACATACATACATACATGGACACACACACACACAGACACACACTCTCACACACACTTCAAGGGACGTTAGGGCCTCAAACATACATGGACTCACACACACTTCAAGGGACGTTAGGGCCTAACACACACACGCACACACACTCTCACATACATACACACACGGACACACACAGACACACACACACATAGACACACTCACACACTTCCAGGGACGTTAGGGCCTCACACACACACACACATGTGCGCACACATAGCACACTCACACGCTTCCAGGGATGTTAGGGCCTAACACACACATAGAGAGACACACGCTCACACACACACATTTCCAGGGACATTAGGGCCACACGAACACATAGGCACACACTCACACACACACACAAACACACACTACCAGGGACGTTAGGGCCTAACACACACACATGCGCACACACACAAAGACACACACGGACACATACACATAGACACACACACACTTCCAGGGACATTACAGCCTAACACACACACGCACACACACACTCTCATACACATACACACACACTCACACACACAAAATCTCATACACACACACTCATACACACTCTCTCATACACATACGCACACATACACACTCTCATACACACACACATACACACACTCATACACACTCATACACATACACACAGTCTCACACATACACGCACACACTCTCATACTCACACTCTCTCACATACACACACTCTCACACTCTCATACACACACACTCACATACACACACTCTCACACTCATACACACACACTCACATACACACACTCTCATACACACACACACTCACATACACTCTCATACACACACACACACATTCATACACACTCACATACACATACACACAGAAACACACACTCTCATACATACACTCACACACACACACGCACACTATCTCATACGAACGCACATACACACACTCTCACATACACATACACTCACACACAGACACACACACGCACTCTCTCATACACACACGCACACAGTCATACACACACTCTCACACCCATACACACAGACACACACATACTCTCATACACACACACTCACGTACACACACTCTTTCACACAGACACACACACATATACTCATACACACACACACTCTCATGCACACATACACTCACTCATACACTCACACACCCACACACACTCTCACACTCATACACACACGCACTCTCACATACACACCCACACACACTCATACACACACTCACAAAGACACACACACACTCTCACACACACACTCACACACTCTAACATACACATAGACGCACACACGCACACTCATACACGCACACTCATACACACTCTCAGACACACACACACTCTCACACACACACTCACACACTCTAACATACACATAGACGCACACACGCACACTCATACACGCACACTCATACACACTCTCAGACACACACACACTCTCACACACACACTCACACACTCTAACATACACATAGACGCACACACGCACACTCATACACGCACACTCATACACACTCTCAGACACACACACACTCTCACACAAACACATACACACACTCTCACATACACACGCACTCTCGTACACATACACACACACTCATACACATACATACACGCACACTCACGTACACGCACACTCACGTACACGCACACACACGCACTCTCATACACACACATACACACACACTAATACATGCACACACATACACGCACACTCATGTACACGCACATACACGCACACTAATACATGCACACACGCACTCTCGCACACATGCACACACGCGCACACACGCACACTCACGCGCACACACGCACTCTCTCACACATGCACACACGCGCACACACGCACTCTCTCACACATGCACACACACACTCTCATACACATACACTCATACAAATACACATACATGCAGTCTCATACACACACACACTCACACACACTCTCTCATACACATACACCCACACGCACTCTCATACTCACACTCACTCTCTCATACACACATACATGCACACTCATACACATACACGCACACACACACACTCTCATACACATACACGCACACACACACACTCTCATACACATACACTCACACGCGCGCACACACACGCACTCATATACACATACACTCACACACATACACACTCATACACGCACACATACACACTCTCTCATACACATACACTCATACACGCACACATACACACTCTCTCATACACATACACTCATACACACACACATACACACACGCACACTCACATACACGCACTCTCTCATACACACGCACTCTCACACACATACACACACGCACACACGCACTCTCACACACATACACGCACTCTCATACACACGCACACTCACACGCACTCTCTCATACACACGCACACTCACACGCACTCTCATACACACGCATACACATGCACTCTCACACACATACACATGCACTCTCACACACATGCACACATACACTCTCACACACACTCTCATACACGCACTCTCATACACATACACACATACACTCTCACACACACTCTCATACACACACACACTCTCGTACACATACACACACACTCTCGTACACATACACACACACTCTCTCGTACACATACACGCACACAAACTCATACACACATGCACACACACACGCACTCTCATACACATACACTCACACGCGTGTGCACACACATACACGCACTCTCTCATATACACATACACTCACACACATACACACTCATACACGCACACATACACACACTCATACACATACACTCATACACACTCACACACACACGCACTCTCTCATACATGCACACACACGCACTCACACACACATGCACACGCATACACATGCACTCTCACACACACATACACGCACACTCACACACATGCACACGCACTCTCACACACTCACACACTCACACACGCACACACATACATGCACTCTCATACACATACACACATACACTCTCACACACACTCTCAGACACACACACACACGCACTCTCTCATACACATACACTCATACACACTCATACACATACACTCATACACACTCATACACATACACACACACGCACGCACTCTCACACATACATGCACTCTCATACATGCACATACATGCACACATACACACACACATACACGCACACTCACACATACAGGCACTCTCTCATACACATACACTCAGACGCACTCACACACATTCATACACACGCACACTCATACACTCTCATACACATACACACGCACTCTCATACACATACGCACACGCACTCATACACATACACACTCACAAGCACTCATACACACACACGCATACACACGCACACTCTCTCACATACATGCACACACACACGCACACACACACTCACACACGCACTCTCTCATATACACATACACTCACACACACTCATACACGCACACATACACACACTCTCATACACATACACTCTCACACATACACGCACTCGCACACATACACACATACACATGCACACTCATACACACTCAGTCATACACACACACGCACACTCACACTCATACACATACACTCACGCACTCTCATACACACACTCTCACACACACACACACGCACTCTCTCATATACACATACACTCACACACATACACACTCATACACGCACACTCATACACACACGCACACTCACACACACATGCACTCTCATACACATACACGCACTCTCACACACACGCACACACACACATGCACTCTCATACACATACACTCTCAGACACACACACACACACGCACTCTCTCAGACACACACTCACACAAACACACACTCTCACATACATACGCACTCTCGTACACATACACACACACACACGCACACTCACTCTCTCGTACACATACACGCACACACACTCTCTCATACACATACACACTCATACACGCACACATACACACACTCTCTCATACACATACACTCTCTCATACATGCACACACACGCACTCTCACACACTCATACACTCTCATACACACTCACGTACACGCACACACACTCTCATACATGCACACACATACACAAACATACGCACTCATACACATACACACGCACACACACGCACACTCTCATACACATACACACACACTCATACACGCACACTCACACATACAGGCACTCTCTCATACACATACACTCAGACGCACTCACACACATTCTCTCATACACACATACATTCATACACATACACACGCACTCTCATACACACACACTCACACGCACTCATACACATACACTCACACACGCGCGCACACACACACTCATACACACTCATACACTCACACACACACACGCACTCTCTCATACATGCACACACATACACACACGCACTCATACATATACACACGCACACACACGCGCACTCTCATACATATACACACACATACACGCACACTCACACATACAGGCACTCTCTCATACACATACACACACACGCACTCACACACATTCATACACACGCACACTCATACACACACTCTCTCATACACATACACTCACACACACTCACGCACTCTCTCATATACACATACACTCACACGCACTCATACACACACTCTCTCATACACATACACTCACACACATACACGCACTCGCACACATACACATGCACACGCACTCTCTCATACACGTACACACTCTCACGCGCACACACACACATACATGCACTCATACACACACACATGCACACTCACGCACTCTCATACACACACTCTCACACACACATACACGCACTCTCTCATATACACATACACTCACACACATACATACACGCACACTCACACACACATACATGCACTCTCATACACACACTCACACACTCTTGTACACATACACACACGCACTCTCGTACACATACACACACTCATACATGCA